CTTGAGCAACGTTGACCAAAGTGTCCACTTGTATACATTTTTTTGGCACCCCAGTATATACTGCAATGGGCTCAATGTTTGTGTCTTCAAATTCCTATGCTGAAATCCTGACTCCCAACATGATCCCATTAGGAGGTGGGGCCTTTAATAGTTAATTAGGCTTGAAGGTGACGCCCTCATGAATGGGATTCGTGCCCTTATAAAAAGGACCCCCCAGAGTCTCTCCCTGACTTTTCACCAAGTGAGGACACAGCAAGAAGACAGCCATCTATATACCAGGAGGCGAGCCCTCACCAGACCTCAAATCTGCTGGTGCCTTGATCTTGGATTTCTCAGCCTCCAGAACTGTAAGAAATCAATGTTTGTCGTTCAAGTCAGTCACCCAGTGGCATTTTTGTTACAGCAACTTGAACAGACTAAGACATATTCCAAATCATTGAATCCGCGTAACAACCTACTAGAAGAGCACTAGCTCGTCATCCCCACTTTACAGATGAGCAAGCTGAAGCACAAGATGATCGTTTTTTCCCCAAGATGAAATGATACAAGTAGCAGAGCCAGGATTCAGAACCACGCAGTCTCACTTTAGAGACCTCACTCTTACCACATGCTCTAGGCTACTTCTGTCTCTCTAAAAAGAAACGTCTCAAACACTTTTCAGCAAGTATGAAAACCAATTAGTTCTATCCACATTTGAAATGTTTATATAGCTCTTTCTTTTTAAAATTTCTGTATTATAATAAATAATGGGATGGGAGGTGGAGTGAACTAGCAAGGAGAGAGGGAATAGGAGCTGGGGAAGGATATAGACCAGGGATAATAGACATGAAGAAACTAAACAAAATGTCACACTGGTGTCAATAGATGACCCAGAATGAGTACATCTCCTTTGAAATCAATTACTTGACTTTTTTCAAAAGAAAAGTAAAGTTACTCTTTATATCTGATCTAGAAACATAACAACTTTATGATTAAAATGTATGAAACTTGAAACTCCTTTGGGGCATCTCTAGGATTTAATTTGTATATGTAGCACCTTAGTACAGTGTTTGGGAACATAACTGAGATCAATAAATGTTTCTTGAATTGAACTGAACAAAACTGAGACATGCATGATTTTTTTAAAAGCAGATAGCTGAAAATTCCTTGCTCTTTTCAGCCTTGATTGAAATTTTTGGGGTGTTTAGTTCTCCCACTATAATTGTTATATTTGCTACCAAATACCTTTCTTTCAAAAATCAAATGCCTGTCACATGTTATAACATAATCTAATAAACCTAGAAGAAATAGAAAATACTATAACAGTAGAACTTCCCAAGTCCCTGACTATGTTTTACTTACTTGAACAAAAGTTAATGCAGTGCTCTACAGTTGTGGTTTTCAAACTTCTTTATAACAGTAAAATTAAATTTTCAAATGAAATTCCATCAGAATCTCAACTAGTAAAAACAGATTAGGGTGTAACTACCAAATCTGGGCTCCTGAGGCACCTCAGAGAAAACCTGGGGATCCCTGAAATTCAGTTTTAAAACCAGCCTGTATTAGCTGTACTTAAACATTCATACCCCCAAATAAGTCATTTCTATAAATACTGGCCACTGTGTGCAAAGTGACTCCAAATAATAACCAGTCGTTGTATTCATGGACTGGAAAGTAGTATTTCATTAAAAATATTAACTCTTTAGGGCCGGCCAAGTGGCTCAGTTGGTTAAGAGCTCACTCAAGAGCGCAAGCTCTGAGCAAGAGCAGTTCGAGTCCCGGCCCGAGCTGAGCTGCCACTGAGCTGCCAACAGGTGGCAGGATGGCTCAGCCAAAAAAAAAAAATCAAGATCGCGCTTAGATATTTCCCAAAAAAAAACTGTGAGACCCAATAAGAACAAAAATATAAAAAGACTTATAATTATAAGTCAGGATATCACTCAATCTCTTATTCTAATGATTAAAAAATATAGAATTTTGGCAAGGTGCAATTCTTGTGATATTTTAAATCTGACTATAAATTAGGTATAATAGCCTTCTTCGATACAATTAAAAATTATCCAAAATAGCTATTTCACCTGGGGAGAGGTGCAGACACAGGAATGCAAGGTTGCTGCTAAATGGAAAATGCCTCCTGAATATCCATAAGTCTTCATACAAGATTCTCAATTCATAAAAGAAAGGAAAATGAAGCAAAAAAAAAACAACCAATTACAACATTTCAGATAGAAAAGGCACAGAAACATAGCAATTGTACAAAAATGACACAAATGATATCTAAACAAATATTAGGTCAATAAGAAATTTTAAATGCTTCAAAGTGGACTCTAATGCAATTAAAATAGACTTAGACTATTATTATCATGAATCTATAATTCATATGCCTACTATGTCCAAAATGGAAGTGAAGAGGCTTTTAATATTAAAACATACATATATAAAAGATTGAAATAAAAATAACAAAAGTATCTATTCAGAAATCCCTGTAAGAAAATATATACCATTGCTTGGTACAAATTATTTACTGCAATTGAGAAACCATACAGTGCCTTACAAACATGATAAACCATAAAAAAAACATGGGATTAAATAATTCTCATTGGTCTGAAAAATAGAGGCTGCAGATTTTCAATTATATAAACAATAACTTCTAAGACTTAAAGAGTACTAGAATGGATAACTCTCCATGCTGGAAAGAGAGAGAGAGGCCACCAAACCTTCCTTTACCAAAGTGAACTGATGGCTTCTGATTTAATATCCTCCTGGTCTCTCACTTACCAACATGGCAGCAGCTAAGTAGAGCGTTCTTATTCACCTCAAAACCATTACTCAGAATAAAATCCATCATCCTTGCAAGGCCTAGGATCCTGCAAGATCTGGCCCCCAGCTTGTTCTCTGACATCATCTCCTCCACAGTCTCAGATTCTATGATCACCACCAGTGTTCTCCAGCCATACATGCCTCTTCGCTATTCCTTCAACAACCAAGCACACTCTCAACCTCAGGACCTTTGCACTTCTTGCTACCACTACCTTGAACATTCTCTCACCTCACCTATAAAGAGCATATTTTATCAGATAAAATTACGTGAATTTTTCAAAAAAGCAAATAAATATTCACCATGAAAAGCAGTTCTTTTAATGTGAAAAGCTAATTTTTCTTCTCTGTAGTTTTCCAAAGGAAAGATCAAACCTTTGTTCCTCTTTACATTGATCAGAGGTTCTATTGCAATAAGAAGAGTTAAATCCTTCTCTGCTTTCTTTGACTCTGGATCATTCTGTCTCTAAGAGAATTATATCCCATAAGTTAATGAGTAATTCAGTGTCATTCTAACAAAATAAAACAAATTAATGATTCTGCATATATTACCTGGAGAAAATCAACAAGCTGCTCAGCTGATGATTCAAATAAACCCCATTCCTCATAGGTAAAAGCTAATTTTATAAATTTCACAGCAGCATCCATAGAAATACCCTTCTTTCTTTTTATAATAAGTTGCAGAAGAGATGTTTGTGGAAAACCAAACATTCCATCTGTACCAGTATTTGACCCTAGGAAAGGAAAGAGAGAGGTTTGAATGTCATTCATACAAAGAAATATTTACTAAATATTTACTATCAGATACTACCAGGCACTAGGGAAACAATGGAAAAGAAACACAATCCGGAGTTTACATTCTAGTGGTGGAAAGAAGAAATCTTAGTGGGAAAATTCAGGGTGTCATGGGGACAAAATGGAAGGGCATCAAACATAGGCTTAGGATAGGACAGCAGTCCGGGAAGGCTACTCACAGAATGCCAAACGTATTCATGGAGTTAACGAGTCAAATAGGCACCTAGATATTACAGATAGAAAGCTCAAGAAAGAGATCTAAAATAGGGATATAGCTTTTAGAGTCATCATTATATAGACACAGCACATGATAGGATCAGCCATGGACAATGTACAGCTGCCTAGGACAGAACACTAAGGAACACCAACAATAAGAGAAGCGCAGAGGGGAAAAGGTGGCAAATAAGAATGTTTACAGAGAAAGAACTAGTCAACAGCAGCAAATACTACAGAGAGTAAAGGGGGGAGAGCACTGAAAAGTGCCCCCTAGATTAAGCAATAGGGAGGTTGTCATGGCATTCTCAGCAGAGCGCTGGGGACAGAAGACTGCTTATGTACAAGTAGAAAGGAAAAAATTGTAACAGTGAAAACAGACAATTCCTTCAATAAATCTGACGATAACAAGAGGAAGAAATACAGGGAGGAAGCTGAAATAGGACACAGGATGAAGGGATAGTTCAGAGATAGTAGGCTTAAAGACCTAATGAGGAAAAGAAGAAACATACCTTCCATTTTAATAAGAGACAGTAGAGAGGATGGGTGCAGATGAAGTATGAATTTTCAGGTTTGGGTGAAGGACGTCAAGGAAATTCTCATCTGAGATCTTGTATTTTCCCTGTGAAGATGATCCCAAACTGTGGCACAGAGACTCCCTGCCCTCACACAGGTGTGTGCATGCAAGTGCAAACGCATGCACACACATCCTTAGCTCACTTAGAAGTACACAAGCTACGGTCTAAGTCTTAGCTTTTTCATCCCTCCTTCCAGGCAGACATGATAGACAAGTCAGCTGATGTTCCAAGACAACAGAAGGTAAAGTAAGCTCATGAGAAAAAAAAATTAAAAGCACAAATACCTTGAAACAATGATCACAAATGACAACATCCTTTACCAGAGGAAGCAGAAAAATGGAACAGAGTGAACCACAGCTTAAGCTTAATAAGTATTCTCTCAAAGAAATATGAGAGCACACACTAGAAATATGAAGCAAGAATAAACTCCTAGAAAAGAGAATCAAATGGGTACTAGGAATAAAGTATATTATTGAAATAAAGAACTCAATAGATGGATACAATAGAACAGTGAGAACCAAAGAACAAATTAGTGACCTGGAAAATCAGATTGAGAAACCTTTCCAGAAGGCAGTCAAAAGGATTAAAGAGATAAAAATAATGAAATAAATAAGATATGGAGAATGGATGTGTTAATATTTATCTATTAGGAGCCATGGATAATTAAGAAAAGTAAACATAAGGGAAGGAATGAAGAAGTAACATGAAAAAATTTAAAGAAAAATGTAAGACCTCAAAGTATTTCCTGTATTACTAAATCTACCTCTACACCCAATTTAATGAAATGTAAGAACATAACAGGAAAGAGAAAAATATAAAAGCTAAACCCATAAAACAACAAGAAATAAACTGACTTCTCAACACCATATGAAAGACTGTAGAGAAATACCTTTAAAATTTTAAAAGAAACAAACTTTTAAGGAAAATATTATATCCAGCTAAACTATTTCAAAGTTCTTAGTTTGTATTTCAGCAAAAAGAAATTAATTTAGAAAGAAGCAGTGGAAAATGGGAAGTAAGAGTGAGGAAAAAAAGTTAATAAATGTATTTACCGTCTTAAAAAGCAATGACTAGGACTTGTATCTAGAACATACAAAGAACTCTCAAAACTCAACAGAAAAAAATAAACAATCTAATTAGAAAATGGGCAAAAAACACTGAAGAGGAAGAGCCTGTAAAGATGGCAAATGAAAAGATAAGCACATAAAAGAATGTTCAGCATCATTAGCTACCAGGGAAAAGCAAATTAAAGCCACAATGAAATATCACTATACAACTCTCAGAATGGCTAAAAGAAAAAAAAAATAGCGGCAATAACAAATATTGTTGAGGATGAAACTGGATCATCATACGTTGCTGGTGGAAATATAAAATGGTGTAGTCATACTTGAAAATAGTATGGCAGTTTCTTACAAAACTAAATATGCCTATGACCCAGCAATTGTACCTTAAGTATTTATCCCAGAGAAACAAAAACTCATGTTCATACGAAGACCTGTACTCAAGTGTTTATAGCAGCTTCGTTCCTAAAAGCCAAAAAGTGGAAACAACTCAAATGTCCTTCGACAGCTGAATGGTTAAATAAACTATGATACACCATGGAATACTACTTTGCAATACTAAGAAATGAATTGTTAGTACACACAAAACCTTGGATACATCTCAAGGGAATTATACTGAGTGAAAAAAAATCTACAGTCACCTAGTTTATGACAAAGGGATAGTATAGCAAATGGGGGAAGGAAGGTGTCCTCAACAAAGGGTGCTGTGTCAACTGGATATTACATGGAAACAAATAAAACTTGATACCTACCTCCTACCAACAAAAAAAATCCAAATTTAGACCTAATGTTAGAGGTAAAATGATAAAGTTTCTAGAAGAAAGCATAGAAATATATCTTTATGACATTAGGGTAGCAGATATTTCTTAAACATGACACAAAAATATAAAGGATACGTTTCAATAAATTGGGCCACATTAAAATTAAGAATTCCTGTCCCTATTAGAGACTAAATGAAAAAGTGAACCAGAAAACAAAGAAACAAGTAAGCAAACCTAAACTTGGCTCTCTGAGCTTTGACTCTGGGTACAGGAGAAAAATACTATTCATGGAGAATCTATACTCACAAGTCATAGATTTGGGACCCAACTTCACAACAGAATATGTATAACATAAAGCATAGACAGATACCATTTCATATCTACCAGACTGGCAAAATTTAAAAATGAGAATACCAAGCATTGGATAAAATAAGGAACAATGGGAACTCTCCTTCACTGCTCTTGAGCATCAACTTTGGAAAGCAATTTTGCATTATCTGGTAAAGTCACAGATATACATCCTATGCAGTACTGATTTCATTCCACTACTAAGTATACACCCTTGAAAACCCTATGAACCTATGCTTTATGAAACATGTATAAGAATGGTCTTTGCAACATAAAATATAACAACCCCAAACTGGAAGGAGTTTAGATCCATTCACAGGTGACTAGGCCAAGCGGAAGATTCATACAGTGACAGCAGAGAAAATGAATGAATTATAGCTATAGGTCCTGGGTCAAACATAATATAGAGAAAGAAAAACCCCAATACATACATTAAGATTCCATTTCCCTTCACGGTCTTACCACATATTATAAAGATAAAACCAGGATCGGATCCCTACTGTTCAAATCCTGTATGCAGGTTGTAGGTTCTTTAGACCAAGCACTATATTCACAGTTGTACTCACAGAACCTAGGAGACCACCAGACATAAAGATACCCAATAGAAACTGTTGAATGAATTAATAAATTTTGGACACCAAAACAAAACAAAAAGAATTCCTATTCCGTAACAGCTATAATTCAGAGAATGAAAAGGCAAGCCACCAAATGAGAAAAGATATTTCCAATACATGTATTCAGTAAAAGACTTGCATCTGGAATCTATAAATAATTCTTTGAACCAGTAAGAAAAAAGCCAAGAGCCCAATAGAAAAATGGAGAAAACACCTTGTTGGTTTGCAAAGTGGCTCCCATACATAGAGGTCAAGGAGAGACCCAAAAAGAGAGACAGACCTCCAGATGGGTAGGTGGCAGTTTTAATGAGCAAGGGAACTTACACGTGAGGCTTGTCTTAGGAGGCCACAAGACCAGTAGATCTCCACATCTGCTCGCCAAAAGTATATATAGAGGACCTAACTGGGGTCAGTCACATATACTGTCCAGGTGGTCTCCACAACACTTGACTCTCTCAAGGCTATGTCCCTGAAATGGTTACTAGTGTGAAAACAGTAGGCAGGACGTACAGTCCAAGGACAGGGGAGGGAGAAGGAGTCTCTGATTGCCCAGGTCCAGCTCACAGGTCAGCTGGTAGTCACATCCTCTCGATGACCTCTGCCAACAGATCTGAACCCGCACTTCACAGCACCGGATATCCAAATGGCAAAGAAATGTATGAAAAGGTGCTCAGCTTCAGCAGTCATCAGAGAAATGCAAATTTATTCCATAATGGAATACTACTGAACTCACACAACAATGTACAAAATAAAAAAAGACATAAATCTAAATATCAGCACCTGGAGCAATTAGAACTCTCATAAAACGCTGATGAGAGTGTAAACTGGTAAAAATCACTTTGGAAAGCAATATGTGCTAAAGTAAAATACACACATACCCTATGTTGTAACAAAATTCCACACCAACAGAAATGCATAGCGGATAACGTTAACAGACCTCTCTCACCAATTTACAAAACAAGCAGACCAAAAAAATAGTAGAAATAAAGAAAATTTAACTACATTATTTACAAACTAAATATATATATATATATATATATATATATATATATATATATATATATATATATATATATATATATAGCAATGCACCCAACAACAAAGAATACATAATCTTTTCAAGTACATACAGGCTATTTACCAAAACTGACCATAAATTAGACTATAAACACATCTCAACAAATTTCAATGGCTTCAAATAATACAGAACATGCTTTCTGACAACAGTATAATTAAGCTAGAAATAGATAATAAAAAATAATTAGAAAGTTTCTATATGTTTTGATTCATGCATGACCCATATACTACAGAAGTCACAAAGGGAATTAAGAAATATTTTTAACTAAATGGTAATGCAGTAAGACACAGCAAAGCTCCAAGTACATAGCTACAGCTGCATTTAGAGAGAAATGTCTTAATATGCATATATTAATTAAGGGGGAAATCCTGAAAATCGATTATGTAAGCTTCCAAGTCAATTTCTTTTTGAATCAGCAAAATAAGGCCAAGAAAAATAAATTAAAGGAAATAATAAAAAACAAAATAGGGCCAGCCAAGTGGCTCGTTGGTTAAGAGTTGGCTTGGGAGCACGAGCTCTGAGCAGCAGGGCTATCAGTTCGGATCCCACATAGGCCAGTGACGCTATACCTTCTACAGCTAAGATGGTGAATAACGGCTTGACCTGGAGCTCAGCTGCCTTGAGTTGCCGAGGACGGCGTAGGCTGCAGTGGGGCTGCAGTGGGCTGCCATAAGCTGCTGTGAGTGGCTAGCAGCCAGCGTGAACTGCCAAGAGCCGCCGTAAGCGGCCATCCAACGGCCAGCGAGCGACTGCCTCACCCGGGAAGAGCGCAATGATAATACCAACATGGGCCAGAGAAGCAACGTCCTCCACAACTAGACAGAAGAACAAATGGACAGCAACTTGTCTGTTCCCCTTCCCCGATTCCCCAATGCTTTTCCCTTCCAATTCCCCAATAAAATCTTTACCAAAAAAAAAAGTAGATAAGCAATCAATGTGATTCACCACATTAACAGAAATAAAAGAGAAAAGCTACTTGATCAACTCAATAAATCTCATTAAGTCCAGAATAAGCTTTTGATGAAATTCAACTACTCACGGTTAAAAACAAATAAAACTATTAGCAACTCCTTAGTCTGGAAAAGAGTATCTAAAAAAATCCTTTAGCAAATATCATTTTAGTGGTAAAATGTGGAAAGCTTTCCATTAGAGATGATAAATGAGACAAGGATATCTGCTATCACCACTTCCATTCCATGTTTCATTGGAGATCATATCCAGTGCAATAAGTCAAGAAACGTAAGAAAAAAAGAAATAAAAACTTTTAAGAATTAGAAAGAAATATAATTGTCATTATTTACAGGTGACTGTATACACAAAAATCCAACAGGAAATCTACTAATAAATTATTTGAATTATCAATTAAGTTTAGCAAGTTTCCTGAATTCAAAATCAATAAAAATTGGGTATGAGTTTATGGGTGGACTACCACACTAAAAACTTATCTTACTCCTGTTCTACAATACAATATTATCTCAACAAGTTATTTACTTATTAAAAGTTCTTTTCCTGCTATAAACAGTTCTGAGATAACATCACGAATTTCTACTTCATCTGTAACAACAGGTCCAGTTTGTAGTGTTCGCCTATTTGAATCAGAAAGAGCTTCCAAGACAGCCAGAAACTGGGATGCAGTGCTATCAAACATCTCATCCAACAACCGTTCTGTGATGGTACGTGGCCACGGCAACTAGAATTCAAACAAAAAATATACAGTCCATTTTTTAAAAGTTCTACAATGTCTGATATTACATGGCAAAGATAAGTAAGACATGCTTAATTTATGTTAAAAGAAAGAGTGGTTGGCCTATCAACGAGATGGCTGCTTTTAAGATTTTCAGTTTTTTGAGGTGTCACTCCAGACTCTATTAAAGTTCATGTCACGTTACCATTGTATCAAAGACTTCGCTATTTCTTTATGTTTTTTTTCTGAGGCAACATAAAAAGCCTGTTTATTACTGTCTTTTTATTAGGGCAGCATCAATCTCCATATGCTTTGTGGTATCTAAATTACAGCCTTGAAGAACTGATGATACTCGAACGTTGGTTGCCTAAGAATCTCTCAGGCATGCTTTTCAGATTCATAGACCACATCTCCAGGGAGTCAGTGGGTCCAAGTGGGACATTTTTAATAAGCACTGCAGAAAATTCCTCAAACCCAAATTTGAGACAATATTTTATATAAATAACTGGTTTTATGCTAGTTAACTCTTAAGAAAGAGTTGAACAGCTGTATACTAATAAACTAGTAACTGTTAGAGCCCTGTGTGAATTCCTAGGCACTCTGCTTCGAATTGTCCCAGAATGAGTTCACCTCCTGCAGATAGCTTGCCTCACGCTTTATTCTCTCTGACAAATTACCTGTTCTCTGTATTTAGGTTACAAGGAAATAAGGCAGGTAGCTCTAGTTGGCTTTTCTAGAATCCATGTCCAGTTAGAACATACCCGTCATATTCCCCATGATTCCTTTGCTTCTTTCCTGTTCTCAGGACAAACTCGGGAAGACAGAAAAACAAAAGCAGGGAAAAAACCCAAACAGATTACAGTAATTTTTTTTTTAAATATCATAGGAAAACTAGCAAAAAGTGGAACAGAATATTTATCAGGGCTATAGATGAATACCAAATAAAGGATTTTAAAATGTAAATATTTAAAAGATCTATAAAAAAGATTTAAAGCCCAAGCAATTAAAAAAAAGGGTTGTCAAGTGTGACAAGAAAAATATTAATGTCTATAAAAACAATGAACTCATTCAAATATATTTTAAAAATTAAAGTCTCTAGTAGATACATGGTCATGGTCAAAGACTGAAAGATAAGTTACAAATAAAGGAAACAGAGTAAACACAAATATAAGGGAAAGTTGAATCAAGAAAATAAAGTTAAAACAAGCCATTTAATGAAAGCTGAATTATAAAAAAATAAAGAAACCATAATATCAAAACGATAACAGCTTGTGGTAAAATTGGTACATGCAAGTTGTCACCTTTAAGAACCAATTTTGGAAATTAATTTGGCAATATATATCAAGAGAAATAAAAGTGTATCCTTTCATTCAAATCCTACACCTGGGATTTATCCACAACAAATTAAAGAAACAAAAACATAATTTAAGATGTTAATTGCATCAATATTTATAATAGTAAAGAACTGGAAACAAGATAACAGTAATAAAAATATTAGACAAATTCTGGTTCATATACTGCATAGTGTATATATAAGACCATCTTGAAAAATATCGGGATGGATGAGAAACTGAATGACACAAACCATGCAGTCTGTTCCACTTCTAAATACTATGGTTTCCATGATCTAGTCTATAAGATGCATTGTTAATTCCCCAACATAGTATATCTACCCCAGTCAAGCTCAATTTCTCACTGTTGCCCAATCAATTTTACTTACTCCTGCTTCCAACCTATGATCATGCTCTAATCCTTTACTTCGAATGTTTCCCCTCGTTTCCTGTTTATAGACAACTCCTGATCATTATTCCAAAGCCATTCAAAAAGAAAGAGCTGCAACTTAGTTAACTTTGCTATATTCCACCACACTTGAAACAACAGTAAGTGTTCAATACATGGCTACAGAATGAATGAATGAAAAATAAATAATAGCAATAACTAATATTTACCCAGGACCTACTCTGTGCCAGGAACATTCTCAGGGCTTTACCTGTAACTCGTAACACCATTATTTCCTCCTTAATTCTTATGACGAGCTATAATTATTTATTTATTATGTAATCTCTCCACTAGAATGTAACCTCAGTCCATCTTGTTCACATAGCAGCTACTTTAAAAATATGTATTGAATGAATCACTAAACAATCATTAGGAGTCTGAATTAGCAGTCTTTAAAAGAATCTTTTGAAAGTCAGAATGATTTACTGTAAGCTAACCATTGCCTTACACACTCAAAAATGTTTCATAAAATAGATTTAATACATACTGAAATTACTTTCTTTTGTAGGATATATAATAAAATTATTTCATACATATAAAGCAGGACATTCTGCAAAATATGTCAAAGTAATATACCATGACTATAAAAAGGGTATGTTGACTATTTTCTGTCAAAACTACCCACTAAACAATTATAATTTTTTCCTAAAAAGATATACCACCAGAACGTTCCATATAATGATCTTAAAAGAAACTAGAAATTAATGTTTTTAATGCAATGCTATGTGGAATTTTAAACATTTTTCTTTGCAAATATATTTAATTTTTATACCAGCATGATTATAAATCAAGTCCTAATAATGTGCTAATTAATGACAATCTCCCAGCTTTGAATACTTAAATTTGGTTTGCTTAGAAACAAACAAACAAAAAATGTTAATGAGAAAAAAAGGCTTGTCCCTGCTTTCTTACAAACACTACAGCATTACTGGTTAACAGCACCAGGTGCAGACAATTCAACAGCTCGCCCGTGGAATCACTATAATTTGGCACGTTACCATCCCACCAATTATACGCCTTGGCTGGTAAAGGATACGGCTTAAAAGGGCTGTATGAAATGTAGTGCTTCTGGGCTCAGGGGTCAATACATCATAGTCACACTAAGTAGCAATAAAAAGCTACCGTGGCCAAGTAATACTTGAATTTAAATATTATGATTTGTTTAAAATTTTAAAAAAAGAATTACTCCTAAATGTTATAAGAAGAAACAAGAGAACAGCAGTCCATGCAGTAGTGAGAAAGCATGGACTAGCGACCTGGGTTCTGGTCCCAGTGCTGCCAGCAGCTGCCTGCGTGATCTGGAGCCAGTAATTTAAATACTCTGGGCTTTATTTTCCCCATCTTAGAAAAGAACTGAACCACGTGATTTCTAAAACCCTTCCAGATTCTGAGATTCTACTGCTATTCGGTTAGAAGCTGCTTTTCTTCCCCGTCGTTTTCATTGTCAGTCTCTACAAAGAAGCTCACAGAGGGGAGTTTATGACCATCTAGAACAGTCAGGGAAAGCTTCAAAGAAATATAGACCTGGCCTGAAGGAATACTGACCTTCAGAAAGGTAAAGGGGAAGACAGTGGGAGAAGGCGAGGGCATGAGGGAGGAAAGGCAGAGGACCCCACAAGGCATACCTACACCCCAGGCCCCTCCTGTGACCGCCCTTCCTGCTGTCTGCCAAATACCTTTGTGGCTGGAAGGGGCCACGTGATGAGCTTTAACATGTGAGAAGAGATTGCTGTCCCTTCCATGCTGGGCATTGCTGCCTGTGCGAGATCCTTCAAAGCTCTCTGATATCCCCTCTGACAGAACCCCTGGCAGTTTTTGAAATGAGGGCTGCTCGCCCATCTGGCCCTGAGCAGCGGTCATAGCACAGCCCCCTGATAACTATAATAACTTGACTCCAGTGGGAAATAAATACTAGTTATTTTTAAGCCACCGAGATATGGGGGTTGTTTGTTGCTACACTATGACCTCATTCCTAAACACGCCCAATGGTGACGCCTGAAGTGGATGAGAAAAGGTGCCTCCACCTCAAAGACTTCTACACTAACACCGAGCGGAGCTGCCGAAACAAAGGCCTCTGCGGAGCCACTCGGGCCGGGGCGTTCCCACCTTTCCCAGGCTCTTCTCCCGCCTCTTGCCCTTTAAAGTTACAAAACGGGGATTGTGTAAAGGTACAAAAGGCTTTGAGAAAGGGATGAAGTGAGGTCCTGTCCAAACTGGGAAGGGATTCTTCTCTCTGCTCGCCACTGGTGCAGAGAATAAGGGTGCAGGGTCTCCTATTTAGTGACAAGGCTTAAAAGATTCAGAGGTATAATACAAATACACCAAAAACAAGTCTGAAATGGAGAAGACATTCTTAGACTTACGGTTTGTACTTCCCTTAGATTCACTCTTATCTTTGGTCTGAACAAATTTTTGCTTTTCCTTCTAGACTCAAACACTCCTCGTTTGAAGATCATCACCGCCATCTGCCTCAGAAAGAAGAATTATATATGAAGTAACAACGGGACGCACTTCTCAACTACTAATAGGAAGTGCTTCATCAACTGTAGAGTGCAGTAAATTTCTTTTATTTCATGAAATTTTTATACCTTTATTGTGGCCTCTCTATAACATCTTCCGGATTCTTCCTGAGACTGTGAGGAACCCATTAATTCCAGTTGCCTTAACTCATCAATTTTAGCTAAAGCACGCCGAGCAAATGCCTAGATGCAATTAAAATAAATTTAAATCATAATAAGCAAGAGTACGGTGATTAAAAATGTATCAAGACAGCATGTTTTATTCTGCCAGACATGTAATTGGTGAATTAAACTCTAGGCTGATGCTGACTCTCTATAACATGGTAGCTATCTAATCTATCACGTCCTATGAAAATCACTAAATCCTGTGGATCTAAAGTTAATACACTGTCAGATATGCTAGCTTTATGAATTAAGACATTTTAAAAGTAAGGAAAGCCAAATTCTAGGTTAAACAGCAGCTTTATATAGGGTGGTGCGAAGGTAACTGCGGTTCTTGCAATTGTTTTTAACCTTTTAAACTGCAATTACTTTTGCACCAACCTATAGATTATCACTTCTCTGGCGTCACACACACACACACACACACACACACATCCTCCTCAGTGCTCTTCTTGAATCCTAACCTTCCTACCAAAACACACTGTATTATCTATTAAAATGTTCACATTGCCACTAAACTGTGAGGTCCTTATCGGGTCTTATTCATTTTCGTATCTCTAATACCCACCATATAGGAAGGATTTATTAATATCTGAGGAAAGAAAGGAAGGAGGGAGGCTTGCTTAGTTAACCAGATCACTATTAATATAATTCTCTAGAGATAATAACAAAAAGAGTTCAAGTCACATAATTTATCAGTTCTTTCAAATACTGCATTTATAATTTACAATGTTTCATAAAGATGCTTCCAGACCACAATGAAAACATATACGAGGGGTTAAATTTTTCTGTAAGGAAGAATTTCATTGGCATCAAGTGCTCAAACATTAGGTAAACGTTCCATTGCCTGATAATTTTAAAGCTAGAGAAATATGCCACCACGAATACACCACAATTAACTATACATACATGGTGAGCAATTACTGGAATGTATCCTAGGCTGGAAAATGTATCCCACAAGGGTTGTATTAGGCTACTCCCCTGCCTCTGGGCCACTACCATCCAACCCTTCAGGGTTCGTTCGGGCAGGAAAAATTAAGTGTAAAGGAGCCATTAACTAACTGGCCAGATGATTTATTTATGGTTGTGAACAGGATATGAACAGGGATTTGCACAGCTGTGAAGGCTCTGTCCTGCACAAGACTTCCAGTCAAGTGGTTGAGTGAGGGCTGAAATCCAGCCCACACTGCACTCAACAAGCCATGTTCCCTGGTGCCGGGATGTGTTGGCCCAAAGAAAGCGGTGCCTATTTTAATTCTCACCAAGGCCCCATCCACTGACGAGCCAAGAACCGTGTGCTGTAGAGATGTGCATTTTTTTTTATTTACATAGAGGCACTGTATAGGCCAATAGAAGCCCCAACCAGTTAAGTTATATTTCAAGTATTCAGTCCAAAAGATACACAGGAAAAGAGAAAAATAAAATAGAATAATGAGAAATAGACTGAAATAAACAAATGGTAGCTGGAATTAGAGACAAGCAAGACAAATGGATGGTAGGTGCATGGAATACAAAACGTAACAGGGAAGGAAAGTGACTTGCATACAAAAATATGATGAGGAAGAAAAGATACCAGAAATCCTACTCAGAAAAGCAGCAAAGAAGGTAGAAGTGAACAGAGAATAAAGGAGCGGGCAGTAAGCGGAGCAAGACACCAGCAGGCCAGAGAAGCCAGGCAAATTTCTGCAAATAAAGCCTAAGACTTCTGTCTCTGCTTCATTGCAATTCTTTGGGTTTTGTTTGTTTGTTTGTGTTTTTCTTACTGTGCATCTAAAAAAGAAAATGCTGCATGAGTTGTACTTTAAAATATTAGACTCCTCAGAATTAAAAAGTAGCATACCTCCCCATGCATCCCAGCTTGGCAGTCATAGTAGCACTGGCAGACAGCTGTATAAAGAGTAGCTCTCCACGTCAAGTACCTGACAGACAGCAGTGGGACTGAGGATTCCATACATATACTGGCCCACAGGAGATATTCTAAGGCCTGAAGAAGAAAGGGCACAACTGAATGTATTTTCACTTTAAGCTAATAATTATGATTTTTATTCAATATAATCAGATTATAAATTGTGAGCACAAATTGCTGACTACTTAAACCAAAACTACCATAAATAATGAGTCAAAAAAAACAAGCATTTAAAAAGTAAAAGAATAATTTAGAGAACTCAAAATCTCAAGTTAACCATTTTAGGATGTCTTCCTGCTTAGCTCCTAAAGTCTCATGAACTTGACTTATTTTTATTAACTTGTATCAATTGTCAGTGATAGTCTAGGAGCTAATTGCAACAATACAACTGTTATTAGCTGGCCTGAAACCTATGTATTATTTTGAAAATAACCTGGTATAGCAGGATAGGGAAAATGAAAAGGGCTTACAGACTGGGGCCTACGATACTTAGTAGAAACAATTCAAGATTGGAATCAAATAGACGTGAGTTTCAGTCCCAATTTTATCACTTGGAGCTATTTCATTTTACCTCTCCAGGCCTCAATTTTCTCACCTGTAAAAATGGGTATTTTGACACATCACAGCAGTGCTGTTATGTACATGATGTGCTAGGATGGTATTTGGCACATTGTGAGCACTGCCTCAACGGTGCCTATTTCCAGTGTAATTATTCCCAAGGTACAATGTGAAACAAAATGGTGGGGAAAGGGTCGCCATTGTATTGCTTTGTTTGTAGGACTATATGTAAAAGCCTCTTGTGCTATTTTAGCGGAATGAGTTTTCCCTATCAGTCCATTGATAATTCTTTTTAAACATATTCTTCCCACAAACCCTATATTAGGAAACACTATTTGACTATATATATTCTTCAGTTAATTTTTTCAGGTTTTTTTCCTTGTCTTCAAATATATTCCAAAAGCTCAAAGGGTAATTGGATTATATTGCCCTTCATTTGATTGACTATAAGAAGAAATTTGATCTGTGTTCCACATATTTTTATAAAAAATATTACTGGGACGAAAATAAGAATCTGTGCGCTAACTATCTGAGAATATCAAGTCCTAAAATCTGTCCATGGAAATACCAGCCTTCACCAAGCAGGTTCTCTTATAGCTCCCTGAACCACTGAGTCCTCGCGCACTTGTCTCCCTGTCTTTGGTCTCACCATGGCCCTTCTCCTTATACGCCCCCTTCCTGATACATTGTCCTTACCTACACCCGAGTTACCTTTTTAATATGCAAATTGGGTCGTGTCACTCTTGTGCTTAAAACACTTCAATGGTTCCCTGCTGCCTATATGACAAAGTGCAAACCTTGTATACGGCACCCAAAGACAGTCCCTGCCTACCCCCACTCTCCGTTACTCTTGACCTTGCATCATATACTTAAAACTGGTCCAATATGCTTTCCATTCCACAAAGCACGCCTTAGTGGTCCAAATATGTGTGCCTTTGCTCACTCTGTTCGCTCCTTCCCCTGCCCTATAAGACCGAGATGAGACCCTACCTCCACTCCTAGCAGTGTTACTTTGGACAGTTTACTTAAACTCCATGTGCCTCAGGTTCTTTATCTGCAAAATAGGTGTAACAGTAATTCTCCTAAAGGATTGTTGGAGGGCCAAATGAGCTAACACACACTAAGTGCTTGGGACATTACACACATAGTAAGTGGTAGCTTTGGTAATGACAATGAAGGAGAAAGGGGAAGCAGGAGAAGGCAGAGGAACAGGAAGAGCAGGGGGAAAAGGGAACTCGCTGTTGAAAAGAAGACTCTTCTAACGTCACTAGAGAGAAATGACGGTTGCCTCATTTCTGTCTCTACTGTCATTGTGTTATGTGTGTGTATGATTTACATGTGTTTTATATACAACATACATGTCACATCCAATAGCATTAACATGCTCACATGTGTGATTCCAAACTAGATGGTGATCTCTTTGAAAATAGGAACAGCGCCTTATTTGTTTTTATATCACCTAGAATAGTGCCAGGTACGTAACGGATATTCCCAAGTGCTATTAAATGAATTCACTGAATAACTCTAAAGTTAGCAGAACCAACCAAGGGAGAGCTAACAACTAGTCCAGATTCTCAAGAAAATAATGATAATAAATTTGAACAACAGAATAAAGTCCCTCTTCCAGTAACAAAGTTGGCCTTCAATAATTGAGGAATTAAGGAAAAGTATATGTATAGTAGTCAAATCCACCCTGAAAAGGCAAATCAACAAAAAGGTCCAGGAAATGCATACATATTAAGCAAACCTACTAGACTGACATATAGTATTTAATAGTAAAAACAGAGAAAACACTAGTGACATTCACACCCCATTACCTCCTTTGGAGCCTTCAAAGACAGTATATATAACGTGTGCATGCAGCTCAGCAGACATCTACAAGAAAGAAGCCTGAAAGGGCAGAATTCCCCACAGTCTAGTCAGTTTTGAATCCAGAGGAAGAGAGCAGAGCTTGACTCAGAATTGCAATATTGTCTGTTACTTACTGGAACGTAAGCTCATCCGACTAGAATGTAAGTTCACTTAGGAAACAGACTTTGTCTTGTTCACCAGAATATCCCCAGCCCCCTAGAACTTTATCTGGTGTATGAACAATCATAAATATTTGTTGAATGACTGACCTGCATTTAAAAGTTTCAGACCATAGTGCCAAATACGGAACTATTTCAAATAATCATAGAATCCAGGGGCTGAAAGCCAATCTAATTTCAGCCTCACCGACATCACCAGAACTACCACCTGATACGCCTGTGCCACTGCCCTCTGTCCAGAATAAAGATCGCTGAGCACTTCTCCAGCTCCCAGCACTACATGTCGCTTTCCCATCATGGTTGGTCTTCCATGGCTTCGCACCAGGCTGCTCATGTCCCGTTGGAGTGTATGACCAGACCACAGGAGAATGACCCTCTCAGTGGCTGGTCCCGGACACCATACCTCCACTAAGTCTGCCTGGGGTGGCTTTATTGCAGTTTTTGTTGTAGCTGCTGTCGTCATTGTTTGCTAACCTTGCCATAACATGAACTGATATAGAGTTAAGAGTTATCAAAACTCGAGTTTTTTCACATACTGCTGCACAAAAATCCTATTGTGGATCTTTGCATTTGGAGTGTTGTGGTTTGGGAGGTATGGGATTAAGCCAGGTATAAATTTCCCCCTTTAAATTCACATGTCTTTCCAAAAAAACCCCGGGTATTAGAAATTTTCTCATTTCAAAATAAAAATAGCTTCGGTTACCAGTTGTTCACATTATATTTGGGTTTTGCCTCAGACGTAACATAAAAGACCCTAAATCATAGATTTTAGTGCCAAAGGGGATCTTAAGAGTAATGTAATCTGACTCCAAGACGCCAAACTGCTTGTAAGCGACAGCTGGAGCTGGAATTCAGGTCTGTGGACTCCCGAGGGCAGTAGCGTTCCTTCCACTACAAAGGGCAACCTTGACAAAGGGAAGTTCAGGAGGAAAAAAGACATCATTTCACATATGTTTCTGAAAAAAAAACCATTCCTGTTAGAGTTGTGAAAAACCATCATTCAGATTTAAAAAATGAAAAGCCATATCCAAAAAACATTTCTTAATTTGTAGCATTTTTTTTCTTGCTCCTAAAAGATAGAACTATTTCTATTAATTAAAAAAAATTGATAGGATTTAAGCGGGACTGTTCTCTTCATAGGAAAAATAAATAAAAAACAACTTTGAAAAACCACGTTACAGGAGCCCAGTGAAAGCATGGTTCCAGCGTTACACACGCAGTTCATCAGCTCAGCCACAGGGTGGCACTGCAGCATCATTTATACCAGCTTTTGAGGGCACCAACAGCAGCATTTCCAAGTTTGGATTTGAAGTTTATGTCATGGAAGGCGGTATAATTTGACAATCATTCTTCAAGCCACAGATGTTACAAACTATTTCAGTTTCATAGTAAATGAAACAGGAATCGTTTTCTTAGAATGAATAGATTCTGCTGTATTTTTAATGTTTGCTGAGTACTATACTCCAGTTTTAAATGCCTCAGAAGAAACTACAGATCATACCATAAATCAAAGTAAAGTTGTCCTATGTTTTTAGGAAAAAAGATTTCAAAATCTACGCTCCCCTCCGCCCCCTTCCCTAAGCTTATGCTGCTGACCTCCCGCAGCACAAAAGGAAGTGTTTCAGCCCATAGTCAGTCTTGGGCTTCAGGAATAGAGTGATGTCAAAAAACCATTAACCCCTCCCACACAGCTCCTCCATTTGAACAGCTCAGCCAAAATAGTCATGACAGGATTAAATTTAGTCAACAGACATGCAATATTCTAATGGTGTTGAGAGGCAATACAGTGATGCATTGGCTCTGGCCTCAGCTACACTTCTAACTAGATGTGTGACATTGAGCAAATAAACGTTTCTGAGCCTTAGCTTCCTCGTCTATAAGAGGAAGGTAATAACAGGACCTTTCTCAGAGAGGTGGTATGAGGGTTAAGTGAGATAATATATGGAAATGCTTAGAAGCATTCCTGATGAATGGGAGGCACTCATCCAACAAATGACGACAATGATGATGATGATGATAGTGCCCACCTCATAAGACTTTAATGCAAAGCCCTTCACACAATACCTAACACATAGTAGGGATTCAATAACAATAACAAACAGCAGCCATAATGCCTGGATCTTATAGGAATAAGGGTTTGTATTGCTCTGGGGTGACACCAAGAAAAGCCTGAGGATCTCGTATCTATTTCTCCTTCTGTCTCATGCTAGTCTAGACATGAACTCGAAAGTGGCTACAGAGCCAGGGTCCCTCAGACCCAGAAGAACACGGATGTGGTTGTATCCCCAAAGAGTCAACTCACTAGCTGAAGGTTTAGAAATTTCTGGGTGAAAACTACTAATTTCCTTGGAACTTGTTATATTGAACAAACTGAAAAAAATTCATCCCACTCTTCAAAATGCCAACTGTACAACCACTTGCCACCCCAAAATTCTTGTACCCCTTACTCCCATCCCACAAGACCGAGACCATAGAACTATTCTCCTTCAGCTCTTATTTTGTCAGAGAGAAATTCAAGTTCTATGAGGGGGTATAAATATGAAATTATATAGGATATAAATATAAACTTATTTAAAAATAACTATCACATTAAAATTCTCTCAGCATTAACAAATACAAACATAAACAGTTACATTTTGGCACATACATCTCTGCCCTACAAAGCTTTGGCAGACGAACACTGTAGCAAACCAAACTAGGATGGTTCTGTGAAGCAGTATTTGTTGCTACAGCAAGGGCAACAGGAGGATGCAAATTCTTTTCAGGAAATCATCTGCAACTGAATGTAGAATCACTGGAATAGTCTGTATGCCAAGTTTACATTATACAGGAGACAGTCTCCCCTCATTTTAATTCACACATAAAAGGCTGGCACAGACTTGTTCAAGTCACTGTCAGTAATAGAGCTTTTAAATTCGAGGAACAAAACAGAGAAAGAACATATAATTAATGTTATCAATTAAGCATGCAAATATCTTTGCTTCCATTTTTAGATGTTGTCAACTTTTAAGATACTTGGCTATATTTCGAGAAAATAAGGGGAAAAAAAATGCACCTGTCCTGAGAGTTAGAATATTCAGGGTAAGGTTTTGCATGTGATAAAGAAAAATAAAGTAGTAATGTTTCAGATGTCAGCAACAACTTGATTGAGTATGGTCTCCACGGGGGTATATTCTCACTTTTTGGCCTACATTCCAATGGCTGGACAATGAATACAGGAAAGAAATATGTCTCCTACAAGACAAAAGTGCTACCGACATTATAGGAAAATGTCGGGCATTCCCTCAAGCTAAAACTGAGCAGTGAGTACTGGTCAGTGGGAATCTTATTATAAAAGAAAGCCCGCTTACCCGCAGCTTGTGACTGGGACAGAGTTTAGGTATTCGTTCACCTAGCTAGCATGCATGTAGGCCGTAAGGAAAGTCCAGCGTCTTCAAGCAAAATGAAGTCCAAGCTCCATAGTACGACACAAGTAGGGTAACCACAGTTTATCATTCAAACCAGGACACTTGTAAGAGTGAAAGCAGTCACTACCAATAATTACTCTAGGACAACAGGCATAAACCAGGACTGTCCTGGGCAAGCCAGAATGGATGGTCACCCTGTCTCAAGATAGATACCAGACGGATGGTCAGTATCAAGTTGACGAGTTATGGCTAACCTGAGAGACCAAGCAACAGTGGAGAATACCTATTAATTTTAAGAATGTTTTCTTTTCATGAATACTTTATTGTCTATATTTTTACATATTATTATGTTAAAGTAAAACTAAAAATAGTAAACCTATTATCTACACATATATATATATTTTTTTTTCACTAAATTTTGTTATATAATTCACTAAATTTTCTTTGTTTAGTATTCAATGCTAACAAAAGTCTTAAGAAAAATAGGAAATACAGGAGCAGATATTTTTGTCAGTAAATTTCATACCTTGGAAGACTGACCTATAATCATCAGCTTTCTGCAAATTGTGTAGATGTAAATGGTACCTAGATGGAGAAAAAGATCATTAATATGTTTCATGGTCAACTCATGGAAATTTTATATTCCAATTTCTGTGGTTTACGTCTGTAGCTCTCAAAACAAGTAATCTCAGGAGAAAGTCTGACAATAGTTAGAGTTATACTCATTATAATTTGTTTTGTAACTTGTAGCCAAATCATTAAAAGAACTAATAGGGCCTTATTTTAAATATGTTCACATAGAAATCCTTTTTAAGATTCTCATTTTTAAAGCAGTTTAAGTTTTGAAATATATGAAGAAAATAATATTTTTAGTAGCATAATTTATGTACCCTGTGGTTTTAGTACTTCATATAAAATAGTATTGGTTCCCATGGTTTCCTTATAGTTGAAAAACTAAAGATTTATCTCCAAATGAGGTAGCCATACAAATTTAATCATACAATACTCAACAAAGAATCTCATAATAATTTAAAAATCATAATGCATAATAGGTTGCATTATATTCATTGGGAGTCTCATATAATATTTATCCTATTATTAAGATATGTCCTATGAGCACTCTAATGAAAAACAGCATTTCCAACTCCTATATAATATCATTCAAGTATGATTTTTTTTTTAATCAGGGCATTAACTAAATGAAGACAGAAGGCAGATGGCAGGGTTGGGGGAGGGGTGAGGAACAATATCACCATACATCTCTCTATCTACAAAGGACGTTATACTGCTTTAAACATACCCAAAGATGGTAACATGCTTTCAAAAGCCATGTTAATTACAACGCAAGTAGTCTAAATATTTTCTATAACATATTTGATCTGAACTCATAACCATCAAAATAGAACAATTATGAATCCTATGTTCACGGTTAAACTTTAAAACCTTCTGAGAAAACAGCATCTGTTCCAAAAGACACATTACTTGATTAAAACGCACTTGTAAGCATAATACATATTAATTACATAAATCCATGACAAAAAAATATTGCATTAAATCTTAAACACTTATTGCACCACAAACTTCACAGAGATTGCAATAGGCCCTTAACGCTCAAGGACTCAGCATTCTTAGTGTGGCTGCTTCCTCGACGTAGTTACTTATTTCACATAAGATCCAGTGGGGAGGAAACCACTTGGCTAGTAACGGCTCAAGCCCGGTATTCTTATCGCAACTTGGTTTTCTCTACCTCCGCTCTTAATCTTTCAAAATTAAACTGTATAGCTGTGTTTCTTTGTTTAAAAAAAGAAACAGTCACCAAGTAAGGATATGCATAGGAAACGCATGCCTCTCCACAAAACATGTGATTCAGGTGTAAGCCAGGAGCCTGTATAAACATGTCAGTAACAGGAACTGGGGAATTTCAGGAGGCCTCAAGGAGACTGCCCTGAAGAATGACAAGGGCCCTCTGTATTTCAAAAATGTGCCTTTAACCTTTCCAACCCTGGTACGTCCTGACTGTAACTGAGCCCTTCTTTGATGGTTCGGGATCTTAGCACGGCTCACAAATACCCACTGCAGAAGAGAGTGATCGGTCTAGAATCGAACACAGACTGAATCTTGACAACCTCAGATACCTCCAGAAGTTTTTTTTGCTTTGTTTTTGACGAAATATGAGTTTCTTGCTTTGTCATGGGACTCCTTTTCACCAGAGATGGCCACCACCAAAATACTCTGACTATTCGAGGGTTTAAATTTGAGGGTGGCGGTTAATTAAGAAGTAAGGTGTTATCAAATATTCATACACCCACTTAGATTTTATGAAAGAACAAAGGTTGGTTGCATATGTTAAGAAACCAAGGGTGTGTATATATCATAGTCAATTAAAAGTGAAGAAAATAAGTGTTAACTTCTAGCTGAAAAGGTTCAACGGTTTTTGATAAATCTACTGTAATTTATTTTTGATTACTTAAACTTCAAAGTTTTAAAACTACAGGATCTTTGCATTTGCTGATCCCACAGTTGGGATGTCCTTCCCCCAAATACTGAGATGCCTCACTCAGGTCCTTGCTCAAATATCATCTCAGGGAGACCTTCCCTGAACGTTCTATTTAACATCGCAGCCCAGCCCCAGGCCAGGCCGGCTCTTCCTATCCTGTCCTCGGCCTTTATTTTTCTCCATAGCACTCTGCACAGTCTGCCACAACCATTTAGCTTTTTGTTTTGTTTCGTTTTAATACTTCTTTTTATTAGTTTCAGGTGTACAAAACAATGTAATAGGCATTTATGCCCCTCACAAAGTGAAACTCCCCCCCCAAATCTACTACCCTTTTGACATTGTATATAGCTGTTACAATACCATTGACTATATTCTCTATGCTGTACTTTACATCCTGGGGGGAGGGGAGGAATATATATATATATATATATATATATATATATATATATATATATATATATATATGNATATATATATATATATATATATATATATATATATATATATATATATATATGTTTAATTATAGTTGACATTCAATATTATTCTACTTCAGGTGTATAGCACAGTGGTCAGGCATCTACACAGTCTATGAAGTGATCCCCCTGATAAGTCCAGTACCCATCTGGCACCTTACATAATCTTTACAACATTATTGATTATATTTCCAATGCTGTATTTCATATCCCTGTGACTATATTGTGATCACCAATTTGTACTTTCTAATCCCTTTACTTCTCCCCATCCCCAACCCCGCCCATCTAGCAACCATCAGTTTATTCTCTGCGTCTCTGAGTCTATTTCTGTTTTGTTTGCTTCTTTAGATTCTGCATATAAGTGAGATCATATGGTATTTGTCTTTCTCAGTCTGACTTATTTCATTTAGCATAGTATTCTCTAGGTCCATTAGTTTTGATTTGTTTATCACTTCCCTGTAGCAGAATGTAACCATGAAAACAGGGTTTTGGTCTATTGTCCACTCCTGTGTCCCTAGCACCTAAAACAATGCCTGGCAATCAGTTTTGGAAGAATTAATTAAAACAGGGACAGGAATTACTGAAACTAAGTATGTATATTTCCCACAACCCAGCAATCCCACTCCTGGGCATAGATCCCAGAAAATTCTCACACATGTCTAGAAAAGGAGATGTGCGAGGATATTATTCACTACAGGATTATTTATGCAGTTAGAGAGGCAGGGCAAACCAAGTGCCCGTCCCTAGGTGTGTATGGATATCTGGAACACAATTCAGCAGGCAGAGTTAATGAACTACATTGACAGACAGGAACCTATTTCAATTCTAAAACCATAGTATTGAGCAGAATAATATTTAGAAAACAGAATAAAATCTAGAGCACAATGTTACCTGTACAAAGAAAGAGCACACACCAAGAAAAGGATGGAGAAGATACAGAAATTGTTTTTTTGTTTTGTTTTGTTTTGTTTTAAGAATACTGGGATATTTTGTGTGTGAACCTAAAAAGACTGCAAACAGGGAGTCATGCTGTGCAATTTCCACCACTCAAGCAAGGCCTGACTGCAAGGCCCAACCCATGGGCCTAATCACTGCTTTTTGAGCACAGAACTGCTCCTGCTCAGTCCCTACCAAGATGTGTGAGCAACTCAGGTGGACAGATGGTACTGGCTACTCTGGAAATCACAGACCCTCTTGAGCATGATCAGGCACAAAAGCTTGACAATCACCAAAAAAACTTCTTCCAAAGTCAGCCTCATCTCTGGCAGCAAATCTAAGGTCTAATATGGATTAAAATGTCAAAAAACATTTGGTAAGGGCAAGGAAGGAAAAGGCTAGGAAATGTATTTCAATTGCCATAGATGAGCTAAAATCCAATGTTTTCTTTCAAGTTATTTTGTACAGTTCTTATGCATATAGAACACAGTCATGATTTTCCTTTTAACAATATATTATCCAGAGAACAATAGAGCAAATAACTCATTGCAACTTTTCATTGTAACTTTAAAAAGAATTTGAATTGAATCTAAACTGTAACTCTTTAAAGATAAAAAAATGCTACATTTTGATAGATAATATTTCATGAGACATATATAATGTATATATGTATGTGTAGCTATACAATGCATATATGTATGTAAGTATGCTATACACACACATATATAGACACACATTCTCAGAGCTCCTTACTCAAAACTAAGAAAAACCAAGTAGGAGGAGGAGGTTGATACATAGAAAGCCACAGTCACTGGCCAAGTTACTTGAGAGGACCAATAAATGGATGATGCTTAGAACCAATCTAACCTGCAGTGGTTCTTTGATTCCTCTCCACTTATATTTCTTTATTAACTATGGCCTCTGCTTTTATATACCTGAAACTGATTATCCCCACAGCCTCTAACACGGCTTGGAGCAGAAAACCCAAAGACATGCTTTGTAAGTCCCTGCTTATGAGGACAAACTAAAAAGTAATCAAAAAATGTAAAAAAACATAAGCATCCTATTATGAAATAAGTGCGTTTTAAATCACAAGGTAATCAAGTTAATGTTAAAATTGGCATTTAAATAACTTTCTCAATGACATCATGGAAAATAGAATACATTGGTACATACCATTGAAGATAATCCAACAAAGGTGCTCCTGTGGCAGAGCCACCTGCATGATGAGTCGTAAGGAGGACAAGATATGCAGGCACTGGACCACAGATTCTTTATTCTGTAGGTTCACATCTCTGTCACAGACCAGCTCGTAGTTGCAAATATATTTGCCATTTAAAGCATGAAACTGAAACACATGGGAAAATGTAAATAAATATAAACAAAGTTTATGCAATTTAGGAAAGCTTTTCTCAAAATGTAAAAAACTAGAGCCAGCCAAGTGGCTCAGTTGGTTAAGAGTTGGCTAAAGGGCGCGAGCTCTAAGCAACAGGGCCACTGGTTCGATTCCCACATGAGCCAGTGATGCTGCAACCGAGCTGAGCTGTCACTGAGCTGCCAACAGGTGGCAGGATGGCTCAGCTGGTGTAACAACAAGACTGCCTGTTCAATGGTGGGCTACGCCCACCCACAACTAAAATTGAACACAGCACCTTGAGCTTACAGGCCACGAGCTGCCGACGGGAAGCCAGATGGAGACTGGCGCCCTCCAGAATGAAGATTGAAGAACAACAACTTGGCTGGTCCCCCTCCCCAATTCCCCAACACTGTTCCCCTCCCCCAACTCCCCAATAAAATCTTTAAAAAAATGTAAAAAACTAAAATGGAGACAATTTTGCTTAATTAATTTAATAAATTAGTATAGTGCCATGAACTGAATGTTTGTGTCCCATCCCCCCAAAAATTCTTATGTTGAAACCTATCCCCAAAATGATGGTATTTGAAGGTGAGGGCTCTGGGAGGTAATTAGGTCATGAGGATGGAGGCCTTATGAATGGGATTAGTGCCCTTATAAAAGAGACACCAGGGCCGGCAGAGTGGCATGTTGGTTAAGAGTTGGCTTGGGACGCCAGCTCTGCAGCAGGGCCCTGGTTTGGATCCAACATGAGGGCCAGTGACACTGCGCCCTCTACAGCTAAGATGGTGAACAACAGCTCGACCTGGAGCTGGGCTGCTGTGAGTCCCTGGAGGCAGCATAGCCTGCAGCCCCTACTGCAGTGGGCTGCCATGAGCAACCATGAGTGGCTGGCAGCCAGCGTAAGTGGCCAGCAGCTGGTGTGAGCTGCTGTGAGCCGCTGTGAGTGGCCGTCCAAGGCTGGTGAGCAACTGCCTCACTTGGGAAGAGCATAATGATAATGCCAACATGGGCCAGTGAAGCGACGTCCTTGACAACTAGACTGAAGAACAAAAGGACAGCAACTTGTCTGTTCCCCTTCCCCGATTCCCCAACGCTGTTCCCCTTCCCCAGTTCCCCAGTAAAATCTTAAAAAAAAAGAGACACCAGAAAGCTCCCTCATGGCTTCTGCCACCTGAGAACACAGTGAGAAGACAGCCATCAATGAACTAGGAAGCAGGCTCTCACCAGACACTGAATATTCCTGTACCTTGATCTGAGATATCCCTGCCTCCAGAAAGTGAGAAATAAATGTCTGTTGTTTAAGCCATCAGTCTATGATTTTTTTGTTATAGCAACCCTAACAGATTAAGACATAGAGAAAGAAATGCGGTAAAATAGGTTTCTTTGAAGCATCCATTTAGTACAAAATCCTATTTCCAAGAATACGGAATTGAATCAATTTTTGGAAACTCGCCCAATGGCATTTTAACTTATTAATTCAGATGTCATTATTATTATTTGCACAATTCACTCAGCAAATGTTTATTGAGCACCTCTATTTGCCACACTCTGTTAAGCAATAGGGACTCAAAGTTGGCAGGGGGGAAAGAATTCCAGGCACAGCCATGTTAAGAATGCCTAAAGTAGTTGCTGTGGTCACTGAATTGAAAGTCTTTTGCAAGGCTGGAAAACAAAGTTTCAGATAAAGAAATTAAGCTGTAGAGGTGGTCCATGGTCAATTCCATGTCATTCCAAGCAATATGGACTTTAGCTAAAGGGCAAAGTCAAGGGGCAGAGGCGTAAAATAACTTGATTTATACTTTAGAAATTAATTCTGACAAAAGTGTGGAAGATGAAAAGCAGAAGGTAGGGAATAAAGCTACGTGCAGGGAAGCTACGCGAGATCAAAGGGCGCTGAGGTAGTCCAGACATACCAGGGCCCTGAAATGGGGCTCTGGACTCGGGGATGAAGAAAAAGAAAAGATTTAAGTCTTGTCTGAGTCAATGAGATTTAGTGACCAATTCAATGTGGGAGATAGGCGAGAGGAAGAGGTCTGCAATGATTTCTTGCTTCGGTGACTGGCTGGAGCCAATTATGGAGGAAAGATGAGTTCAGCTTGGGATACGTCAAGTTGAGATGTTCATGACATAACTGAATAGCTGTGGAATTCAGAACAGAGATTTTTATGAAGAGCTAGACTATTGATGAGTACTGGTAAAGTTATGGGAGTAGACACTCTTAATAATACAAACGGGCCTTATCACATAGATTTCCTGCTTGGATGTATGTACACTATTTCTAGCCACTATGTAGTTGGTATCACAGAAGATATTTATTGAATGTAGCTACATGTTGGAATAATCATTATCTTCAAAGTGCTCACTTTTTTATAAGCAGATAATGATGCTTAGCATTTTTTGAGTGTCAGGCCCTATTCTAAGTCTTTGATTACCTCGGCAATCCTAAAACAACATTATGAGAGAGGTCTTATTATTACTTCCATTTTACAGATGATGAAACCGAGGCACAAAGGAATTACATAACTTCTCCAAGATCCCATCCTTAGGAAGTGGCATAGCAGCTCTTTGAACCCAGGCAGGGTGGTTCTAGGGACCAAATTCTCACCCACTCTGCCATAATGCCTCCCTGCAGTACATACAAAGAGGGTCAATAAATTCCATAATTAAGTATCTTTGTACAAAACTTTGCTGTTAATATTCTGACCGTAAATTCTTCATTATCCATGATCTTTACACATTTAATTCCAAAATTATTTCTCTAACAAAACTTCTCAAGACCCCTAGTTCTGTGTTGTCAAGTTCCTCCTAGACTAAATTTTCAATCTATTTATTCTCTTACTCACTTATTTTGTACATATTTATTGAGAACCACAGTGTGCCAGTGTCAAACTTAGCATTTATTAATAAAAAACAAATTCTTCGCATCTTTTTGCATCTATCACAACAGTCCTGACGGCATACTCTTATGTTGTCTTTATTGTTTTACCTTCTGCCTCCAGTCTTTTTCTTTCTACTCTGTTCTGTGTACTGCTTCTAGATTAATCATTCTCACTGTATCACTTCATTTATTCACCCCTTCAATAAAGCTTTCTCGAGAATTTATTACATGCAAGGCACTGTTCTTAGTGCTAGGGATTAGAGATTAGAGCAGTCCCTGTCTTCATGAAGCTCACATTCTAGAAGAAGAGAAAGGAAATTTAAAAATAAACAAATACAGGGGGCCGGTCGAGTGGCTCAGTTGGTTAAGAGCTCGCTCAAGAGTTTGAGCTCTGAGCAACAGCGGTTCGAGTCCCGGCCCGAGATGAGCTGCCGCTGAGCTGCCAACAGGTGGCAGGATGGCTCAGCTAAAAAAAAATAAAAATAAAAATAAATTTAAAAAAATAAACAAATAAAAATGTAGCTGGTGAGAGTAAATGACATAAAGAAAAATAAAGCAGGGAGTGCAGGAGACCTGCAGGAAGTGAAGGACGAGCTACACAGGTATCTAAGATACAAGCTTCGCAGACAGTGGAGCTCATCAGTACACTGGTGCTAAGGCAAGGAGGCTGGGTGGAAGCAGGATAATGGGACAGTCCAACAGAGAAAGATGGAGACCTGGACTAGGGTGAAATAGGAGGGGCCTTAAAAGTCCGAACTCCTAAGCTTTTCATTCAGTACTATTCCCAATGGGGTACCAATTCATTGCCCTGTATTCTCATTCATGTACCTATGATATAGTCAAATTGAACTGATCGATGGACCCCCAAATATGCCTTGAGATTTTTATGCTAATTAAACCATGCATGAGGTGTGGTGAAATAATAGGGTGAATGTTTCAACTAAAAAAAAATTATTACAGTAAAAGACACAATGACATTAATCCCCTTTAAAATACTCCCCTCGCTTCGAACACACTTATCCCCTCATTCTTGCCACTTTCTGAAGCAGTTCTGGAAGTCCTCTTTTGTGAGTGTCTTTTGTTGCGCTGTTGTGGCTGCCTCAATGTCCTGAACTGATTCAAAACAGTTTACCTTTCACAGTCATTTTGACTTTGGGGAAGAGCCAGAAGTTGCACGGTGCCAGATCCGGTAAATAAGGTGGATGAGGACACACCGTAATGTTTTTATTTGATAGAAATTGCCATATCAGAAGCGAAGTGTGACATGGGGCCTTTCTGTCGAGATCACAAAATATGGTGACTGCTGCTGCCAAGTGCCATCCAATAAAAAGACAGGGATCTTCAATATGGGAAACAGTGCGACAAACCTTAGTAACAGTGTGTGACAAGTTTCTACTTGTTCAGTGCAGTCAGTCAGGTACGAGCTACAATTCAGAGAAGGTGTACTTTAAAGTGTGCCATTAATCATCCTCCATCATGACAACGCTCCGTGTCATACATCGCTTCTGGTATAACAATTTCTGTCAAATAAAAACATTACAGTGTGTCCTCATCTACCTTTATTCACTGGATCTGGCACTGTGCCACTTCTGGCTCTTCCCCAAAGTCAAAATGATTCAGGACATCGAGGCAGCCATGACAGTACAACTAAAGACACTCATGAAAGAGGACTTCCAGAACTGCTTCAGAAAGTGGCAGGAAAGATGGGATAAGTATGTTCGAAGCGCGGGGGAGTGTTTTGAGGGGGATTAATGGCAATGTGTCTTTCATTTGAATAAGTTTTTTTTATTATTTAAACATGCATCATATTTTTTTATCAACACCTTGTGTTCAAAGCACGGGGGAGTGTTTTGAGGGGGATTAATGGCAATGTGTCTTTCACTTGAATAAGTTTTTTTTTATTATTTAAACATTCACCATATTTTTTTATCACACCTTGTGTGTTTCCAAGGTCTTGAATAATCATCAAATTTGAAATAGCATAACTTTGGATTCAGATTGATTAGCTCTGCCCATTATTTTAAGTGGGCTGGGTTTCTTAGTCTGTAATAAGCCTCGGTTTCCTCATCTGTAAATGAGGCATAATAGCACCTACCTTTTAGGACTGTAATGAGGCTGCAAGATAACAATTCATATATTGCATATAGAAGAGCCTAGTACATGGTAAGTGCTCAACCAGTGACTCAATGGTAACAATTAACATCATAAAAATACTGGTATACTAGAAATAAAGCATACGATTTTATATCAGAAGATCTGTGTTTGAGCTCCAAAGCCACTAGTTACACTGTGTGATTAGCTTTCTTTTTGTCTTTTGTAAAATAGCGATAATAATAGTATCCAACTCACAAAGTTATCGTAGGGATCAAATATGTTTTCCAAAATACTTTGTAAACTAAAAGCCCTCCACAAACATTAGTTACTGTAACAATAACTGTCTGTTAGATGAATGAGTGATTATAGTGATACAATCTCCAAAGCATCTTTAGAAAGTTTAATAAATGCACTTTCTTATCCAGCACTGAAAGCATTTATTAAGCAACTTATAGCACACAAGTAAGTGCTATGCTAAACAAAGGAAAGGCTGTCAACAAAAGGATATACTGCATAGTTCATCATAAATTGTAACTATTTTAGCTACTACTTTCATCTTACCGTATGTACAGCAGTTTTGTCTCCAAAGCCTTTTGGAAAAAAGACAGTTTTGAACTGATGTACATCTGCTTGATTCTCATCAAAGTTGACACTGAACTGCTGAAGATATCTTCCATAGCACTGTAAAAGGGCCAACTTATATTCCTGAAATAAAAAGAGCACTTGATGAAAGTTTCAAAATTTCACTTTGCTTATTAAAATTTCACTATTACATTATATTAATATTAATCAATTATTAAATTATATCATTATTGAAATTAGGTAATATTTATATTATTCTTAGTAGCATCAACCTTGATTATTACTATTACTGCTATTACTACCACCATTACATTATGACTACCATTATCACTACCATTTCCAAACACATATTATGACAGACACTGTGCTAGGCAATTAATGTCCATTATTTCATAATTCTCCTCACAACAAGCCTATATTGAGATAAGACCACCATGATGTCCAGGATGAAAATATTCACTAGGGCACTGTGTGTGGTAATAACTGTCTATACTCAAAATCCAAAAAATGTAACGTCGCCCTTTGATGGTAATCCACCCACTCCATCAGAGAGAGAGGGGAGTTGTGAACTAGCCTTGCTTCTCTGATGCCTCCTGAGCTCCAAACAAGAAGGAAATAAGAGATGAGGAGGCGGGAGAGGGAGGGAGAAAAAGAGAAAAGGAGGAAGGAGGGAAGAAAGGAGAGAGCGAGAAGAAAGAAAGAAGGAGGCAGGAAGAGAAAGAAAGAAGGGGATGGGAGTAAGGAGAAGGAGGTAGAAAGGGAATGAGGGAGAAAGGAAGGAAGGAAGGAAGGAAGGAAGGAAGGAAGGAAGGAAGGAAGGAAGGAAGGAAGGAAGGAAGGAAGGGGAGACAGAATGGGAAGGAGGAAGAAAGGGGGAGAGGGAAGAGAAAGAAGAAGGAAAAGAAAGGAGGGGACAGAAAGGAAGGGGAGAAGGGGGAGGGGAGGGGAGGAGAGAAAAATGCAGGTGATGAGCTGACTCAGCCTCTCTTCTGTCAACAGTCTCTGAAGCTGCATCAGGTCAAACCAAAAAGTCAGAGCTATTGTTAGTTATGATTCTGTTAGTTCTAATTCATGCTTATGTTTCCATTACAAAGTCACATGCCTCATTCCTGCGGCCCACAAGGCACAGTTAACCTAGAGAGTTTCAGGGCAGTGGATGTGAGTAGGGCTCTGAAATATGTCTGTTGTAACCCTTACTCAGTTTCCTCCCCTTAAATGAGTCTCCAGGAAAAGCAACTGCCCTGGGTGTGAACTCCCTTTCAGGTTACCTAGCCCCTTGGGAGGCATCCCAAATGCTGTTTTCTTTCTATTTCTATTGACTTGTTTATTATTGTTCACTAATTAATTCTGATTCTTTTCTGTTCTAACTTGATTTATATAATGAATTCAAATACAGGTTCAAAACAAGAATATTTCAACAGAATGAACTGTACTGAAACTAAAGTAAAAATAAAGAGATTCTAGAACCAAAGTAACAAGTCAAGTTCATTTTCAGGATTACAAATACCTTTATCGGCCCACTTTCCTATCAGTGAAAAGTACGTAAAATATTTTTGTTGTTGTTCCTTTAAGCAAATTTTTAAATATCCTATCTTGGCCTTTCTATTTGAAATATTCTGAATCCTTAGCCACTACCCATCATCCACTTGCTTTATCAATTTCTAACATGGCTGCTTTCTCCTCCCTCCACCAATATCCACTCAGCCTACCTGAATACTCCTCAAACAATCCCAATCACCAGCTTCTTATGTTGAGGAGAAGCATAAAAATGGAGAGGGGGCACTCTTCTAATTCTTGTCAAAACTGTAATTCCACTTCACATTAATATGGATTACAAGTTGGAGCTCATCTTTTTTTTTCCCCTATAGTTTTTCCAAACTCCAGTTTCTAAGAACCGCAGTCCAATTACATGGAGCTAAGGTGATTATCTAATTTTGGCAGCAGAAAATACTTGTAGATCGTAGTTCTTAATTATCAAAGTTCCTCCATATCTTACCCTCTATTTGGTAAATTTCCCTCCCAAACCAAAAGATCTCAAGTCCAAAAAATAGAAGTGGAGGAGGAAAATGATGCTGAAAAACTGAAAATTGAGAAGACACTAAATATGGCCCATGTCCAGCCTAAAATCACTTTGGATAAAATAATTCTTAGTCCAAAGATCCTAGATGTGCCAAATACTCAATTCATACCTAACTTGGAATAATTTGGGCCTATGCCAGAGCTTAAGGGAAAACTTACATTATCATTAACTTAAAACTTAGCCATGATATGGTCTTACCAAACCAAGTCCATGAGTCCACAGAAATCTAAAACCTGGGTATTGATATGGAACTAGCAATAGGAACAAGCTCAGTTTGGAATACAATACTGAGCAAGAAACAAGGTTAAGTATGGAATAACGGCTAAAATTACATTTGGCAAAACATTAAGAAGGCAATGGAAGTTATTAAAACAGGGCACTGGGTAGCAAGCAACACAGCAGCAAGGCCAGAAGCCATGCGAGTTGTCTGCTGGGTAAGCCAACCATGCAAAAAAACAACAGGAAGTGGTGTCTGGGCTCTTTTGTATAATGTAGGAACATGATGACTCAGCATTTCCTGTTGGGCGCCTACCACACCCTCTGTTAAGTAGGGGTTGTGCTCCTGCCCATCCCCAGCCAGCTGTCTTTCTGTTCTGGAATCTTTCACCTATGAAGAATCTCAACTACGAAATTAAAAAACAAACACTTTTTTGGTTACCATGCCTCGTTAAAATTTGATGTTTTCATTTGTATTTTTTTCTAATAAAAACAATCATGTAAAATAGGAATGGTATCAAACCAAATAATAATAATAATTATCCAAATGAGTTTCATTTAGGCTTTTTTCCCTCCGGAAGCACTTACTTTCATTTCACAAAGGCTATCTCCAACCTTCAGAAGCTTTTCATTGTAATAGGCAGCTGGCAGCCGGGGGGCGTATTTGTTCCAGATATTAAACAAAGACGTGGCACTGTAAAAATCAAAATAAAATAATATCTTCAAAGTCAGCACGAAGCCTCAATTAATTAGCAAGCAACCCTTAAAAACTTATCATGTGTTAAGTCCTTCCAATGTGCCTTGTTAATGTCTAATTATTAATAAATACAATTCTGGTCAAAATTATTGCTTCTTTTGTGTCAAGAACTGATTGAAGCTCTTTATATGCATTTTTTAAAATAGCCTATTTTTTTAGAGCAGTTTTAGGTTCACAGAAAAATTGAGCAGAAGGTATAGAGATTCCCCATACACCTCCTGCCCCCCGACACATGCATAGCCTCCCCAATACCAACACCCCCCACCAGAGTGGGACAATTGTTACAACTGATGAACCTATACTGATACATCCTTATCACCCAGTGTCCATAGTTTACATTAGGGTTTACTCTTGCTGTTGTACATTCTATGGGTTTGGACAGATGTATAATGACATGTATCCATCATTAAGGTATGATACAGAGTAGTTTCACTGCCCTAAAAATCCTCTGTGATCTGCATATTCATTCCTCCCTCTCCACCCCTACTCCCACCCCCAGGCAACCACTGATCTTTTTAGTCACTGCACAGTTTTGCCTTTTTCAAAATGTCACATTCTTGGAATCGTACAGTACATAGCCTTTTCAGATTGGCTTCTTTCACTTAGTAATATGCATTCAAGATTCCCCCGTGTTTTTTTTATGGCTTGATAGCTTATTTCCTTTTAGAACTGAATAATATTCCATTGTCTGGATATACCAGGCTATTTACTTACTGAAAGACATTTTGTTTGCTTCCAAGTTTTGTCCATTTGAATAAAGCTGCTATAAACATCCATGTACAGATTTATGAATGGACATTACTACTTTGGGTAAATACCAAGGAGAACAATTTACCAAAGAGTATGTTTAGTTTCATAACATACCACCAAACTGTCTTCCAAAGGGGCTACACCATTTTGCATTCCTACCAGCAATGAAAAAGAGTTTCTGTTCTTCCATATCCTCACCAACATTTGGTGTTCTCAGTGTTCCAGATTTTGGCCATTCTAATAAATTGTGCAATGGTATCTCACAGTCGTTTTAATTTGCATCTTCCTGATGATAGATGGTGTGGAACATCTTTTCATATGTCTATATGCCATTTGTATATCTTCTTTGGTGAGGCATCTGTTAAGGTCGTTAGTCCATTGTTTCAATCAGGTTGTTTGTTTCCTTACTCTTGAGTTTTCAGAGCTCTTTGTAGTTTGGATAATAGTCCTTTATCAGATATGTCTTTTGCAAATATTTTCTCCCAGTCTGTGGCTTGGCTTTCATTCTCTTGACAGTGTATTTCACAGAGCAGAAATTTTTCATTTTAATGAAGTCCAGGTTATCGATTCTTTCTTTCATGGATTACACCTTTGACGTTATATCTAAACAGTCACTGCAAAACCCAAGGTTACCTAGATTTTTTTCCTATGTTATCTTCTAGGCATTTTATAGCATTTATAGGTTTGTGATCTAATGTGAGTTAATTTTGGGGAAGGGTGTAAGGTTTGTGTCTAAATTCATTTGTTTTTTTACACGTGGATGTCCAGTTGTTACAGTACCATTTGTTGAAGTAACTACCTTTATACCATTGTATTGCCTTTGCTCCTTTCTGAAAGATCAGCTGAATGTATGTAGGTCTATTTCTGAGCTCTCTGTTCTGTTACTTTAATCTATTTGTCCATTCTATCATCAATACCACACTCACTTGATTACTGTAGCTTTATAGAAAACCTGAAAGTCAAGTAGCATCAGTCCTCCAACTTTGCTCTCCTTCAATATTATGTTGGCTATTTTAGGTCTTTGGCAAACATGCTCTTTTTTTTTTTCATTTTCACAACAACCCTGAGATAGGGAATATCAATATTTCAAATATAGAATGGATGAAACTGAGACTTATGCATCCACGCGCTTAACTAGTACATCTATAACTAAGTACATATATAACTTCCAATCCTCTGGCATAGAAATTCACTGAGGGCAAGGACCTCAACTATATTATTCATTGTCCAGTCCTAAGAGTAGTGAATATCTAGTATATGTAAGTACTCAATAAATATTTGTTGAAAGAATGAATAAATCAATAGGGAAAAGAAACATTTCTTGTTCTTATTTTATTCTTTTTTTATAAAGGGTCCAAGAGTTCAAATATCCAGTCTATTTAGGGTTATGCTTCCTTTCACCTAGTAAAACAAAACTAAAGCATACAACATTCTCAGAGTGGCTTCTAATCAGAGTTTCAAAGGGTAGCAGATCATTTCTTATTTTGTTCATTCATTTAGTCAACATGTACCCCTTTCCTCTCTCTCAGAAATCATAAATGTCTCTAGGAAGAATCCAAATTTCCCTCAACAGCTGTCCAACCCTATTTCATAAATTTCTAGATAAGGACAGTATTATGGACTGAATGTGTGTCCCCTCAAAATTCATATGTTGAAGCCCTAACCCTCAATGTGGCTGTGTTTTGAGAGGGGGACTCTTAAGAAAGTAAATAAGGTTAAATTAAGTCATAAGGGTGGGATTAATGCCCTTCTGAGAGACCAGGGAGCACTTGTGCTCACTCCCATTCTCTCCTCCCCACCCCTACTTCCTGAAAGGAAAGGCTGTATGAGGTCAAAGTGGGCCTCTGAAAGCCACAAAGCAAGCTCTCACCAGAAACTGACCCTGCTGGACCTTGATTTGGGATATCTAGCCTCCAGAACCGTGAGAAAATAAATTTCTGTTGTTTAAGCCACCCAGCCTATGGTATTTGTTATGGCTACCCAATTGACTAAGACAGACAGGAATCTAAACTTAAGGATTGAAGATGGCTCTAGCATTTATGACATACACGCAGGGATATTAATAAAACAACCTCAACAGAAACATGTCAATTCATTCATTCAGGTAATTAAAGGATATTGGTTGAATGACAAAGGAAGTGGGCAGGAGTGGGTATTCCTGCCTTCATGAACTGAGCAATAATATTTAGGGGTAGAAAAAGATACACATGTACCAAGTACTAAACAATGCCAAATAAATAGTGTGGCAAATACAGCCCAAAGAAGTTTAAAAAGGGAGAAGTGTTTTGGTTGCTTTGTTTATTTTACCTTTTTCAGTTTCATTTGCTGCTTCATGAAATGTCACGGTGTTAGAATAAATACAATGAACCTAAAAAATTCACCAAGTCTTGCTAGAATTCTTAAAAAATTATGTAGATGAGTTAATTTTTCCAAACCTTACAGATGACATAATGATGACTAGGTTTGTTACTCAAAAAAAAGCTTTGTTAAATCAATCAAGGTTATATAATAAGAGAACTGTCTTTTCTTTTGTTTTTTTTTTAAGTAACCCTAAATTCAAGTTAAGATTGCTCATTGGGAATGGCTTACATAATGATTAAACAAAGGAAATATAATATATACTATATCATGTACATCATTTAAGAAAAGAATGTTAATGTAGTTTGGGTTACTGATTGATTACAGCTGCTGCTGGATATTTAGAATTTTCTAAAATAGAAAAGCGTAAT